TTTTCTTGCTCTTGTCAATACGAGCGCTGCAGCATTTTGAATCAGCTGAAGCAAATTGAGGTAACACTGCTGCTGCTCTGCAGTGGCGGTTCTAGACCAATTTGACTGGGGGGGCAGTTATTTTCTGAGGGGGGCACAATAAATGCAGGATGAAAAAGAGAACTAGACAGTATGAAGTAATTGCGCATAAGAAAACAATGGATCTGCTGGTCATATGATGTCCTGAGGAACAGAAACACAAGCAGCCGCTGGACTCAGATCTCTAGATACCTCATCACTCCTTCGATGCTCCGGTACAAGTTCCGGGGCCCTTTCTCATTTCTCTAACTCCCCTCCTCGACTCCCCTCCTCGACTCCTATCCTAGATACTTAGTCCCGTCCACAGGAGATGCGAGCGGAGGAGCCGAGGAGGGGAACCGAGGAGAGAGAAGGGAAGCAGCAGGCGGTTAGAGAAATGAGAACTCCTCTCCTCTGAGCGGTCACTTTAAAGAGACGTCCGTTAATGATGACAGCAGCTCTCTGTCTGATGGACAGATGTGTTCATGATGACTTATATATTTACTTTTAATTCATTCACAGGCAATAATAATAACAATAACAATAACAGGCTACAGATGCGGACACACAGGCCCTTTCTCATTTCACTAATTCCCCTCCTCGACTCCTATCCTCAAGACTTAGTCCCACCCACAGGAGATGCGAGCGGAGGACTGAGGAGGGGAACCGAGGAGAGAAGAGGGGAACCGAGGAGAGAGGAAGGGAAGCAGCAAGCGGTTAGAGAAATGAGAACTCCTCTCCTCTGAGCGGTCATTTTAAAGAGACGTCCATTAATGATGACAGGAGGCACAGCAGCCCTCTGTCTGATGGACAGATGTGTTCATGACGACTTATATATTTACTTTGATTCATTGACAGTGCGGTATAATGAGATAATAACACGCTACAGATGCGGACATATACACACACACACACACACACACATATCTGGACACTACGTCATCGAGTGGCGCCAAATGCTGGGCATTTAACATGCATTCAAACAGTCCTTCGGTGCCACTCGATGACGTAGTATACTTGAAATAGTGGCTCTGCAGCAGGTTTACTCGACATTGAGAAACGGCCACAGAGCACTGTTTGTATGATGGGATCACAGACACGCTGCAAATGGTGTCTGCCAAAAGTCGAGTCCAGTGTCTATGAAGTGTCATTTTTATTTGTTATAGTTTAGGAAGATTGAAAATCGGTAGGGAAAGCCAGCTAAGTCGGTAGGCGGTGGAAACATGTCAAAAGCGGTAGACTACCGCCCAAATCGGTAGGGTTGGCAGGTATGATACTATTGTATTTCTACTTAAGTAGCATTACAAATGCAGGACGTTTACTTGTAACAGAGTATTCCTACACACTGGTACTTCTAATTTTACTGAAGTACAATATCTGAGTACTCCTCCAACCTCTGTCTAAAGGAGAAGGGGTTGGCAAGTTTTCTTTTTTTAACATTTTAGTAGTTGTATGTAACTTGACCACGAGCTATCCTATCTATTAGCACATTCATTACAATAGTACTCCATGTTAATTAATACATTTGACACACCTGACAGAATAAGTCACATCCCATTAAGGACTTCATTCCAGCGGTAATTCGCCCTGGGGGGCTCCTGTAATCCCAGAGAGCAAGATGAATGCTACATGTCATTCAGATTAGAAGTAGTAGTAGCAATAGTAGTCGTAGTGGCAAGACCTCCTGTAAAGGGGCATAATGTGTGCAGATACTTTAGATTAAAAAAAAAAGGCCACATGTTTTTTCTAAAATCCTACTTATGAGAACATAGATGCTGTCAATGTATAAAGATAACACTACCTTAAACAAGTAGTTATATTGGTTCAAACAAGGTCCATTCCGGCTGTACTTTTTAGTTTTATTGAGTTTTTGGTTGGAGATGAGAATGGAAAGTCTGCATGGCTGCATAGTGAGAGAACCTACATCATGTTCTCACTGTGTCATCCCCTCAGGAAAGGTGATGCTGTGCTCCACGGTGGGGTGCAGTGGTTCCTTCCCCAACATGCAGAAGCTGATTGAACACATGAGGCATCACCACAAACCCAACATATTCTTCGTGTGAGTCTGACTGGCCATGCACTCTCAGCTGACATACTGTGCATTAGTAGAAATGTTTCATCCTGTGTATTCAGAAGGAAAACATAGGGAGGGGAGGATACAGGATTTTATCGCAAATCACAATAAAAAATACTTAAGTTGATCGTGGAGAAATTCCATTATCAGGATTATCGTAAACATCCTTGCAAGTGTAAAATAGAGCATGATTAAAAATACTGGAATAATAAGAAAGAACAAACTCAAATAATTCCCTTGATTTGAATAATTTATTTATGATTAATGGTTACCCTATTTAAGTTATTGTTAACTAAAACGGATAGATAAATACTTTATTGATCCCAATTTGGGAAATTATTTAAGACGTTAACTAACAACGGTGTTTTCTATCTGTGATGCAATACAAATACTTGTTTCTTAAATAAATCAAACGTAAAGTAATTCCAGTAGGATTTATAGCCGTTTCACAAGCTTGGGCATATGTTTGAAGATTCTCAAGTTAACGTAGTGAATTGAGATTATTTTGTGGAGGATAATCATGACCTGATACCTTACCTCTGTCCCACCCAATGCCTGAATGTGTTGCATTGTATGTCAGCTGCTAACATCTTCTTTCTGTGAAGGTGTGAGAGTTGTCGCACAAAGTTGCGTTCCTACCGCGGCCTCCTGACCCACCTGCACACCTGCTCCAAAGTGATGCGGGGGAAAGCCAAGCCCACTGAGCCAAACATGGCCCCCATGGAGGTGGACCAGAAGCCCCCCTGGCTGGAAGCAGCATCTGCCCCCTCTCAGATCCTGAACCCAGACCCCTCCTTCCCAGCTGTGGTGAAGCCGGGGCCCGATGGCCCCCCCTTCATGTCTAACCATGAGCCCGCCCCCCCCCACCCTGCTCCTCCAAAGCTCACAGAGGCGGCTCCACAGCCCCCCATAAGGAGTGACGCCTCTGATCTGACTCCGTCCTTACACTTTGGGGCCCCACCATTGACTCCCACCCAGGGGCAGCACCCGACACAGACCAGGTCCCCTGAGGACGTCCACCCCGCTCCAGGATCAGCTCCTCGCTCTCCTCCTGGGCCCTCGGCTGTGTGGAGGAAGAATCAAGGTGAGCAGACCCTGGCAGATGTGGCTCCACTTTAACTTTCAAACCGCCTTAAAGTGCACCATGTTAACATCATTGAAGGCCAGTTCATACTTTCTGAGTGTGTGTGTCTGCCAGGTTCCACTGTGGTCCTCATCACTCAAATTACTTCATCCAAATTGTTATGCATGCCCCAAAGCTGTATACATTTGGGGCATACATAAAAAATACAAAAATAACCTACAATGCAGGATGAGGCCCAAATGTATTTCTTAAATAAAACAACGTATTTAGTATAGTATAGTAAAGAATCTGGAGTTTCTGAAATAAAGGTACAATATATTTTGTTACCTTGCAGACTGAACACTTGAAGACAAATGTTCTTATTCTTGGCTACAGGTAGGAACCTGTAGCCAAGAATAAGAAAATAATATGTATTGTTTTAAAGGGAGGTTGTGTAAGCAGTCTTCTGTGGAACACAAAGGCAGCCATATGGCGTTATACTCCTGGCACAGGCAGACATTCAGTTGTAAATGGATTAGCATGCACATCTTTGGAGAGTAGGTGTGAGATCAAAAGCTGCAGACTCACTCAGGCTGACATCAACTTCCTCTGTAAAGACAGCAGTGCAGAAGAAATATGATTTTTTTGTATTTTTCATTTTGTCAAGACATTAATTTGTCATTCCTTTTGTCAGGGTCCTGCAACAGCCGCATCTTGTGGGAGCACACCAAAGGGCGCTACACGTGTGTGCAGTGTGGCCACATGGTGATCAGCCGTAAAGAGATGACTCAGCACATCTCCACTAAACACAGCAGGAACAAAGCTACAGAAGACACAGGGAGCGCGGCCACCAAAACGTAGAGAAGAGGCAACATGTCTCTTGTTCTCCTCAGGAACTGAAGTACATTACCCTTTTTATTCTGCGTTGAAAGCCTGCAGCAGTGATTCATGAACTGAGTATATATTTCATTGATTGCCACAAAGCACTTTTATTGCCTTTTTGCTTCCAGGAAACCATACGACTTTTCAGCTAAATACAGTTCATTACTAATCTCCCTATTGTTGAAAAATAAAGAGCTTTTTGAACATTAAGCATGGAGACATGTCACCGTAGAGGCACCAAATACTAATTTGACTTCAGTCATTGATGTTTGCAGGAGGGCATTCTCGAGACAGATGGTGAATAAAAACTGCAAGACTATTTTTTTGAAACTTCCCTTTATAAAAACGTTATAGCCCTTGATTTTTTTTTTGTACCCCTTAATTTCCCTAACTTTATAAGGACCTGTGATAGATGTGTGTGTACTGGATGATTCATGTGTTTCCCAGTGAATTGTCCATGAAATACCTAATAAGAAAAGACAGGGTAAAAAAAAGAAGCAGTTTTTATTGGGGTCAGAATGAGTTGATACAAGCACTCAGGCTCCCTCTGTACATCCAAAACATGCCCCTGAACATCCAGCCCCTCCCCTGTAGACTAGCATCACGCTGTCAAGCAGCCCTATGACCATGAACACATCGAGACAAACCACATGACAAGGGTCCCACTCATCACCAACATGTCAATAATTACGTTACCACATGCAGACTGTAGTGCTGTTTTCAACAAACCAGTCCCATCACATAGATGGTGGGTGGGCGGGNCAGGTGAACAAGGATGATGTCCTTCAGCTTCCAGATTCTGCTTTCCAACTCACCTGGACAGAAACACATTGTTTAGTATATCACTGTAGTGTAGCATTATTGTCAATTAATTATAGTAATTTAACCATAACCAAATACTCCCATATTTATTAAACACATTATTGCATATTTGGTAATCCCTATTTGGGAATGTTGGCATGCATTACATTAATCTATACTTAAAAAAACATGGGAAAGGGGGGCTCTTACACATTGATCTGTCAACACTATTCAGACACATGAGCCATGCCATGTGGGTTTTCAAAACGAAATTAATGCTCTATTATTTTACAGCCCTGCAGTTTCAATCTATTAATTTATGTTACCAAACAAAGCCTGCTGAAATTTAACTGGAAATTAAAGTGTTTTTATTTCACATGATGACCGGTTGTCAAGAAAATAACCCTCATGGTAAACAAGTGCATACAAAAAAAAGATTAAGTGCCGACCCCAGATCAGGCAATGATGATTTGTTTTTAGCTTTATTATCACAACTATGTTCACCTCAGTTTCTTGAGGCTTTTTAAAAAAATCTCTGCTGGTCCACTGCGTACATCTTTCCTGCCGGGAGCTTCCGGAAAAATAAACTGTTGCCTCTGCTCATGTTGCCCTGGAAACAAGAGAAGATGAGAAGTGCTTAGAAGTGTACAATGGTGAAAACGGTTGATCTTTTCAAGGAAACATTTAGTAACGAGAAGGTCATACGTGATGTCATCCTGCAGCTACATGAACTCATATTAGAACCAATATCACAAAAACAGCTAATGACGAAATGACTTAATTATGAGCATTATTAGTCCAGACTTCAGCTGGACCTGAAGATATGATTATGGGACATTACTAATAATAGTCTTGCGACTCTAATCTAGGTTTTATAGCATCAAAATATACAGAAAATACCAAAAGTATCCACTAATGTTGCAGCTGGTAAAAAGGTGGAGCTTTTTTTGATGCTGGATGGTTTAACATAAAATAATTGCATCATTACTGATTATTTATAATTTTTCTTTACAAATTGCATTCATCTAAAACCGTCAAAAGTATCAAAATCTTTCAAACAAATGCAGTAAAAAATTAATGATCTGTTATGAGATGTAGTGAAAAAGTATAACGAAGCAGACAATACCTAAAATTGCACTGTAGTAAAGCACTTGTAAATATACTTGTTACTGTCCAACATTTGTTATGAATAATGACAACCAGGTAGAAAATGGGACATGTTTCATGAGAATATAATTACTGAAACATTTAACGAGATAACAGAAAAATGTGCACAGAAAAATTGTAAACATGTTTTCACTGACTGACATTTTAGCATAATTATACATATTACAAACTTCTTTTTTTTTTTAATTCTGGCTTGAAATATATAAATTCAAGCACTCCTCTCTAATAGATGGAGCTAGTACAAGTAACAAGTACAGTACTTGAGCACATTTACTTAACTGTCCACCACCGTTCATGATTAAAAAAAACAACCAGGTAGAAACAGGACAAAAAAGCAGCGCCTTGTAATGTAATATCGATATACAATTACTTAAAAAGTAATAGGAAATAAAAAATGTAAACACGTTTTCACTGATGAATCCCAGGATTTGTGTGCATTGAATAATATATAGTACATATTATGTGTGTACCTCTCTGCTGAGATGCCTCCAGCAGTCCACCCAAGTGGGGTATACTGAGGCGTAGGGGGGCAGACCTCCAGCCAGCCTGTGGAAACACAGTTCATTAAAGTCTGTAGGATCAAACTCTCCTGAGGATTTAAAGCAGAGGATAACCGGAGCACTCACCCGCAGTTATTAACAGCCATGAGGTTTGACACCAGGACAAAAGGGTATGTGAGCATACTGGCGAAGAACTGGAAGAGAAGAGCAGAGCAGCATGAAGAAACTACACACTGCAGGCTGACAGGCGGCCATGTTGGTTAAACTCACCCCAGTCACTGCCTGGGAGCAGTTCTTGATTTCTCCTGTGTGACTCATCTGTAAAGAGGAAGACATCAGCAGTTAGTCTGAGTCGAGACAATTTACGCCAGCTTCAGGCAAACAACACTGAGCCTGATAAGTTGTTGCAGGCGACTAAATTAAATGGACCGTTATTTGGATAATTATTTCAGTAGGATTGAGAATTGTTGAAACATTGCGATGGTGAGAGTACACACCATAACAGTAGGCAATCTCCATTACAGGCTAAATCCAGCCTGATAGGTACCCCCCCCTTTACAGAACACAGAAGCAATGACTGAGTCCTGAGTGTGAGAGAAAGCGTACCGAGTCGTCGATGGCATACGTGTTGATGGCGTGGGCTAGCAGGTTACAGATCCACAAAGACAGGACGTCACAGAGCAGGCGGGGTATCAAACCACTGGAGGAACATAGAAGGATAAGATTCAAGGTTCAAAGGTTTTATTGTCATACAGTTACAGTCCAGCTACAGTGAAGAAATGGCAATAAAAATCTTATGAACCGAGCTCGAGCTCCTCCAACAATGCAAAAAAATACAAAATAGTGCAAGAAGTAAACACATATACAGTGGGGCAAAAAAGTATTTAGTCAGCCACCAATTGTGCAAGTTCTCCCACTTAAAAAGATGAGGCCTATAATTTTCATCCTGGGTATACTTCAACTATGAGAGACCAAATGAAAAAAAAAAAAATCCAGAAAATCACATTGTCTGATTTCTAAAGAATTTATTTGTAAATTATGGTGGAAAATAAGTATTTGGTCAATAACAAAAGTTCATACTTTGTTATATACCCTTTGTTGGCAATGACAGAGGCCACACGTTTTCTGCAAGTCTTCACAAGGTTTTCACACACTGTTGCTGGTATTTTTGGCCCATTCCTCCAGGCAGATCTCCTCTAGAGCAGTGATGTTTTGGGGCTGTCGCTGGGCAACACAGACTTTCAAATCCCTCCAAAGATTTTCTATGGGGTTGAGATCTGGAGACTGGCTAGGCCACTCCAGGACCTTGAAATGCTTCTTACGAAGCCACTCCTTCGTTGCCCGGGCGGTGTGTTTGGGATCATTTTCATGCTGAAAGACCCAGCCACGTTTCATCTTCAATGCCCTTGCTGATGGAAGGAGGTTGTCACTCAAAATCTCATGATACATGGCCCCATTCATTCTTTCCTTACACGGATCAGTCGTCCTGGTCCCTTTGCAGAAAAACAGCCCCAAAGCATGATGTTTCCACCCCCATGCTTCACAGTAGGTATGGTGTTCTTTGGATGTAACTCAGCATTCTTTCTCCTCCAAACACGTCTAGTTGAGTTCTTACCAAAAAGTTCTATTTTGGTTTCATCTGACCATATGACATTCTCCCAATCCTCTTCTGGATCATCTAAATGCTCTCTAGCAAACTTCAGACGGGCCTGGACATGTACTGGCTTAAGCAGGGGGACACGTCTGGCACTGCAGGATTTGAGTCCCTGGCGGCGTAGTGTGTTACTGATGGTAGCCTTTGTTACTTTGGTCCCAGCTCTCTGCAGGTCATTGACTAGGTCCCCCCGTGTGGTTCTGGGATTTTTGCTCACCGTTCTTGTGATCATTTTGACCCCACGGGGTGAGATCTTGCGTGGAGCCCCAGATCGAGGGAGATTATCAGTGGTCTTTTATGTCTTCCATTTTCTAATAATTGCTCCCACAGTTGATTTCTTCACACCAAGCTGCTTACCTATTGCAGATTCAGTCTTCCCAGCCTGGTGCAGGTCTACAATTTTGTTTCTGGTGTCCTTTGACAGCTCTTTGTTCTTGGCCATAGTGGAG